AATGTTTCTGGAAAACAGACAGCGATGAGTGAGGCAGGAAGGCTGCGGCTAGGGAAGAAGGTGACCTGACCTTGCAGGTAGAGCACAGCTTTCCCCAAAGTTAAGGGACTTTGCCCTTGTTTCCCAAAGGAATTGGGGTGCTTTGGTCTTGGATTTTCAAGCCACACTGGAGGGTTTGGGCTAGCAAGTAGTAGTGGGCCAAACCAGAGGCTAATAGCAACTAGCTTGGGAGGCATGAGTTAGCCTATCATGAAGGACCAGGGAATAAAAAAGTCCAGAACATGAAAGCTCAGCTAGCTTTCCGGATGGTGAAGGAAGCTGTTGGGATGTGGATGCTCCTTTTGAGAACACTTTCGGACTCCACCCATTTGTCTCCTCTTTATGATAATCTGACTTTTGCTTTGATGAAGCGAAATGGTTAAGTATAGAATTCTTCAAGAGTTTGGGGAGTCATTCCAGTGAATTTTTGACTCCGAAGGAGAAGAGGAAGCCAGTAAGTGAAAGTGAAGGTGTTGCATGTGTCCCCAGACTTATGGCTGGCATGTGTCTATTTGGTAGACACATGGAAAGGGCTATATCCTTTAACTATCAGATCTGCCCTGGCTTCTGCAGCCAGGGTCAGAGGAAAGGTGTGTTGTGCAGGCGGCCAGTGTCAGAAATGACTGAGAAGTAGGGCACTAGGAACTGGGTGAAGAGCCACATTCTGAGGATGAGATTCATGTTGACTCTTATCCATGAAGTCATCCATAAATACCACAAAACTTTAGGCTCAATTCAAAGCAGAGGGTAAGAGTGTGGCCTGGGGTTTAACAGGATTCATCTTATGTCTTAAAGTAGGACAGCCGTCCTCCACAGCCCCCATCGCACCCTGCATCTCAACTCTCCTTTGGCATATTCAAGGTAGAACACCTGGAACCTAAGAGTTTACCTTCCGAACAACAAAACCAAGAAATGGTCTTCTCTAAAAGAAAGTTGGCTTAACTTCCTGGGGTGAGCTAGGACCACAGGATGGCATTGGTGACCCTGAGCCGAGACCCTGCATGTTCAGGGTCACCAGAGAAACTCCAAGTGCCCCAGCATCGAGGGATGAGAATCAGGCACATATCCAGAGTTCTCATCTAAGATTTTTACTGTCTCATTGGTATATTTTTAAATGTCACCAGACATTTGAAGACAGTGTACAAATGAGAAAAATAAAACACAAATCTCAGCATCTTCAGACACTAGAAAAGATGGGAGCACTCAACTAACTAAAAACTTCTTGGAAATGAAAATGTGTATGTATAAAAAGTTCTTAAGATCATTTATAAATGTAAAAAAAAAATAATATTCAATGTACAACAAAGAAGGAAGAGTTAAGTACCTAATACTTCAATAAGGAGATGTTAACGATTTATATTATACATATGTCCAAATACATTTTTCTATGCTAAACTGAACAAATCAAGATGTATTCACAGTTTAATAATACCTACACCCACGAAAACCCAGAAATATTACAAAATGTGGTTGTCTGCGGTACTTGTGGGGTCAAAGGTTATTTTGTCCTTTCCTTTAGTTTCCATTCTATACTTTCCACATTTACCCTAAGGAGCATATAGTCTTCCTTCTAAAGATAATTCTGAATAATGGATATGAAAAATAAAAGGACTCATGTCTATTGAAAACCTTATTTCTTTATAAAGAAAACACAATAATTTCCTATTGCTTAAGAAGATGACACTTAAATTCACTGCCATCGAGTCACTTCTGATGTACAGGACCCTATAGGACAAGGTAGAACTGTCCATACGGGTTTCCATATATGTCACTCTTTATTGGAATATTTCTATTCCAATAGAAATATTGGAATAGTTTTTAACATGTATTTATTTTTTTATTTTTTAATCATTTTATTGGGGGCTCATACAACTCTTATCACAATCCATACAAACATCAATTTGTACATTCATTGCCCTCATCATTCTCAAAACATCCGCTCTCAAACCCAAGCCCCTGGCATTAGCTCCTCATTTTCCCCCTCCCTCCCTGCTTCCCCCTCCCTCATGAACCCTTGATAATTTACAAAGTATTATTTTGTCATATCTTGCCCTGTGCGATATCTCCCTTCACCCACTTTTCTATGCTCCCAGTATTGCCACTCATACCACTGGTCCTGAAGGGATTATCCGCCCTGGAATATTTCTATTCCAGTGAGGAATTTCTATTCCTCATCTTTCTCCTGGGGAGCAAGCAGCTGCTGGTGTCAAAAGACTGCCTGTGTGGTTCGCAGCGCAGCACTTAACTACTATATCACAGGAGCTCTTTGGAAAGATAACAGACTTAATGGATTTTCTGAATATAATTTAATTCTAAACACATGACTGTTAAAAACTTAATTAAGGTGAGTTGTAACTTTGAGTTATCTTTCCTGACAACATATGAGCAAATTAGTTGTATTCCGAAACAAGCTAAAGGCAAGAAAAGTAGGACTTGTTGCTTCTGGCCAAGCCTTGCCAGTGGTCAGTTAGGAGTACTCCACTCAGTCTTAAATGACCATCGGCAACAACAAAACACGAACTCACTGCCATCAAGTTGATTCCAACTCATCCTGCCCGAAGGGACAGGGTAGAACTGTCTCTGTGGGTTTCTGAAACTGTCACTTTGTACGGAAGCTGAGAGCCTCATCTTCCTTCCATGGAGCAGCTGGTGGTTTCAAACTGCTGACCTTGTGGTCAGCAGCCCTCCACTTCGAACTGATTTGAGTCTCTCCATTTACAAGACAATGCATTTAAGAACGATGAATCTCGGGGCTGGCTCACTGATCTAAAAGCATGGTAAGAAGAGTTCCCAATTTTATAAACCAAGAGTGGGAAAGGGTCTTTGGGGACGGGGTAATCTGTTGCCTTTCTGCCACACAGATTAACCATCCTGTAATCACTGTACAGTGTGCATCTCCCACAAAGACAATTCCAAAGAACCAAACCCACTGCTCTCTGGCAAGTCAGTTCTGACTCACAGCGAACCCATAGTACAGACGAGTCACTTCCTAGAATTCCCAGTGCTGTAAATCTTCCAGGAGCAGGCTGCCCCATGGACAGAAAATAGGTCGGGCCCTGGGGACATAAGCACAAACCTGCATGAATAAAATTCTCTATCGGGTACACTGAACTTTCCAGATATATAGAAAGAAAAGTTTAAAAAAATTTTTTTAAGTAAGGCTATTTGGGTGTATCTTCAATTTCCTTCTAGAAACAATCTTACCATATATACTCAAGTATAAACCGACCCAAATATCAGCCGAGGCACCTAATTTTACCACAAAAACTGCATAAAAAAATGTGCTAAAAAGCTCGGCTTATACATGAGTATATACGGTAAAACATAGAATGTTATGATTTTATTAGGTAGCAATCTTTTAAAATTATTTTTTCTCATAAAGTAGCTCATATAGCAATTTGTTATAATTTTCATATAATGTTGATAAAATTTTGTAAAGCATGTAATTACAATAACTTTCCTAGAAAACTAAATTAATTTTAATGCAAAACTAAATTTAACCTATTGAAATAAATGAGGTGTTCCTACTTTTTTATATTAAACATAACTTTTCTCTCAACTACCACATAAAGTATCTAATTAAAGCCTTCTCAGTGCCCAGAAGAAATGTACATTTTTAAAGCTTAGTCTAAATGCAGTGATAAGAATGGTCAAAAAGAGAGCAAAACAGTGTAAGATACTGATTTTACAAGTTTTTCCAAAATGTAATCCATGTTACTGACTTGCTGGTACTAATACTATGTACACAAATTTTATTTTTTGGTTTAAAAATATTCTTGTATCTTCTATTTCACATTCTCTCTACCACTGTGGAACCAAAAGGATACTATCATTTGTCAAGTTTGTCAAGTCTCATCAGTTATAGATGTTTCTGGTTGACTGAAAACCCAAATATCTTTTTTTCCCAGAAAGTAAAAGCTTCTTTCCCATGCCTCTCTGTTACACATACAAACTAATCACCCCTTGGGCTTGACTACGTTGGAAAATGCTTTCTGGTGATGACGCAGCCAAGAACATACTTTCTGGTTTCACACAGACCAGGCTGGAGGTTGTATTCTATCGTAACCATGACACCTAGAAATAATCTGATACATTAAAGTTAGCATAACTCTGGATGATTCACTTAGCTGCTAAAATTCAATAGTACATCATTTTTTTAGAAGTTGGTACAAAGTTTTTAACATCATAAATCTTATTTAGTACTGTTGAAAAACATTTCTAACACATCTCTAGATCACTTACAAACACTGAAAAATAAATGCAAGGATAAAAACAGAAAAAGTATTTATTTCCACTAGGGTTCTAATTCATAGATGTATGGGTTTATTCCAAACAAAACCCGTTTCAAATGTCCTGTCAGTGAATGACTGCAGACAAGTGCTCTCAGTAATCCCCTCTTTTCCCTCCTGGCAATTGCTCACTCTTGCAGGGTAGTAAGGGCTATAAGAATGTCCTTGGATGACCTTACCCCATCCACCCCACAGCTCTGATCCTTCCCTTTCAGAATTCTTTTTGTTTCCTAAACTCAAAGACCCTTGAAAGGGAACAGGATTTAGGACCCGGGAGAATACCAACACTGGCCCTTTGATGTGGCACCAATCCAAGGAGGGGACTCTTCAGGGGAGATGTAACAGGGAGAAGGAAGCACTGCCTCAGAAGCTTGGACGCCCAGACGGAGGACAGGTCACGGAATGAAAGTTTCACATTTTGTCATTTTTGTTTCATGAAGTTTCTATGACTTTATAGGAACCATTTTCACTTGCTCGTATATACATACATGTATATAATACTTGTGTTTAGAAATAGATATATCGGTAGTTTGAGAGTTATTATAATAATGTTTAAATTATCTGAGAAGCATAAATGACAGAATAATAGAAAAGCACTATTCTAAATATATCTATTTACTTTAAGCTACTTTGACCTCCGTGGATTAAGTTGTCATCATCCCTATGTGGTACCTTTAGTTCTGCATTGTCAAGACTGAGAGTCTCCTTTCCACATTCAATGGAGTGAAGTTTACTCAGAAGTTCTTCACATGCATTCTTTCCATAACTTTCCATTTTCTTCAGGTCTTCCAAAAGGTTACTGATCTGCCTTTATAAAATGAACGGTACATTTTACAAAAGTCATGGAAATTTTCATTAAAACAACACATTTAAAATTTGTTTCTGAAAATTATTTCAATCTGGTACACTATTTAAAACAGAAATTATGCAAAAAATTACTTGGATTTATCAAACAAGGGCAACACTACCATGCACCATTACTGTCAAGTTGATTCAACTCACAGCACCCCTGTAGGCTGGAAGAGAACTGCCCCACGGGGTTTCCTAGGCTGTCAATCTTTCCAGAAGCAGTCTCACGCCTCCGTCCGTCCGGTGGAGCAGTGGGTGTCAGCTGAACCACTGACCCACAGGTCAGCAGCTGAGCGCGCTCATCGGTGCATCACCAGGCCCTCCAGAAGGGCACAGGGCGAACAATCGACAGAGATAGCAAGAAGGGACAGCCGTTAAACCGGCTGCTGCAAGTCTCTTATCCACAGTCAAAACCGCCTTCCTCTCTCTCCTCCATTTCATCTCTCTTTTCTCCATTTCCTTTGTCCATGTTATAAGAATGCCTGACAAGTCCAAAAGCAGTTTGAGCAAACGGGCGTTCCATGTGATTAGAAAAAACTGCCCACTGATGATGCCAAAAATAAACTACAAACCATTCTCTTTCGGATCCTATATGCGTCTCAGTGATCTACAGGTTTCTGGGATGGCCAGTCTGTCTCTCTCACTCACATCCTCATTCACATGCACCTCAATGAATCTTTGAGAGTACATTACATGTGCTACTTTTTAGTAATGAAAATGAAGAGTATTCAAGGAATAAAAAAAGAGTAAATATTCAGAGTTCACCACTTTTAGCTTATCATATACAAACTTCAAATTAAAAATACATATATTATCACTATTTCATCTTTTTTATGGCATTTTAATTAAGGAATAATCATTTCTAGGATTTTGATAGTACTTACATATTATAGAATAACCTTTTAAAATACATACTCACTGATTTTTCATTCTTATTTAATAGAGTCATATCACTTCCATTTGAAGACAAATTAGTATTGAGGTACCACCTATCCTAGATGACATATACAAAAACACCACAGACTCACTTAATCTAAAACTTCAAGATGTGAGCAGCAATGCACTTTTAATGAGTGAGTGCTTTCTATAACAGAGTAGAACAAGAAGCGCTTCTGTCATTAGAAAATAACAAACACAAATCACATCGACAGCTTCTGGACCACATGCAATGCAAAAGAACACCACCAATCAGGGTGGGAGAGATCTAAACACAGAGAGATCTAACGTTTCACCCCACTTACTTCTTTAGCGTCTCAATCTGAACTTCCAATTCAGTTTTTTCTATTATTATTTTCTCGTAATGACTTTTCCAGGCATTGAAAGCGGAAATTATTTCAGACAACTGGGCTTCCTAAAAAATACATAAAATGCTCATCCTGCAACTTCACATTTCTGTTTTGTTCACGACCCTGAACAACAAAATATTATAATCAAGGAAAACCCATTCTATAAAGTATGTGGTTTTTATTATGAAGGAAAAAATGCAGTATACTACTCTGAAAGTAGAAAGATTTTAAAGCAAATATTAATAAAAATTCGGTATCACTTTATTGTTAAATGCTAGAGTGGCATTTGCAACTTAGCGGGGCTTTTCTTAAACTTTTTATTGTGAATTTGGTGATGGCTTACTGAGCAGATCATCAGTTGTACACTCAATGACCGATGTAATCCCCTCAATGTAACATCATGATTTCCTGTATCCATTCTCCTTTCGTGATCCTTCTTTAGAGCTGCTTTGTCCTTCCGTAAATGCTGCGCTTAGGTTCTCAAATGGTTGATTAGTTTAAGGTGTGTGTGTGTGTGTGTGTGTGTGTGTGTGTGTGTGTGTGATCTATTTCTCTTATAAATAGGCTTGTCTATTGTTTGACTGAAAATTGAGTCATCAGGGTGAGTTCAGCTCCAGGCCGGAAGGGTGACTACGGGCTATCGTCTGGGGGTCCCACAGGTCTATCTGCCCAGCAAGCCTGCTCTCTTTTATGATTTTGAGTTTTGTAGCAACTTAATATTTTAACGAATGTTGATGTAGCCATTTTTGAATAACGTTTCACAGTTACTTAACATTATCTCCTTTGTGTTTACTGGGCTTTTCGTTTTGACTTCCAAACAAAAGATGTCAAAAGCCACCCAAGCATCTGCAGGAGAGAGAAGACCGGTAGGTAGCGTGTGCGTAGAAAACACCGACAAACGCTTATCTCCACAGCATTAACGAGAGTCTTGTTTATGTCAGATAGTTAAATTCTGCTGAAGGAAGGTTAAATAGTAAAGCCTCTAAAAGATTAACACTTTAGATTATAAAATATTAAGTTGTTTTGTTTACACGAGCTTTTGTACAAGTCTGTTTTCATTCTAAAAGCCTCTTATAATTCTATAAGCTTTAACATAAGTTCTTGAGAGGTGGGATACCAGTGAGACTTTAAAAAGAATAAATAATTCAGTAATTGGTAACTGAATAAGCACAATTCATCATCAACAACAAAATCTAAGGCCATTTTTCAACTTTGTACTACACCCCAAGATATCTTTCACATGGTGTCCTTACGTCAGCATATGGGTTTACATGCACTACGGAGTAAATTACTGAATAAAGGCATATGGGCTAATAACATAAATCAGCAGTTCTCAAACTAGTATTCCTCAGAACCAGTTCCAAAAATTGCTCTGAGTTAAAGCAGAGTTCTGTAGTTACACAAGTGTGGGAAACTGAGTTCAATAAAGTTAATTACACTGACTACAGCAGGCCTTCTCAGGGCCTTTAGTATGCTAATGCACACTGCATTTCCTAAGGGCAACAGTGTGAGCTGCTACCCTCGCATGGCCATAGAAGCCTTTTGCGTGTGCTTGGGCCATAACTTAAATATCTCCTTGAAGTAACAGTCCACAGGAAATGCTGATATAATGTCACACAGAAATCTGGTCTCTCTGCAACTTTGAACACTAAGGGCGCAGTTCCTATAATATCAGGAGCATGGACCCCAACAGTGATCAGGAGAATCGCCATCCTTTCAAAGAAGAACTGGCAGACCTCCCCTGGTGACCCATTGACCATGTCCTCCCCAGGCCACTTTCTACTTACCAGGCTGGGTTCTCCACTCACTGAAATGCCCCAAACTCACAGACCACACTATCATTTTAAGCATTATGACATTCCAAAAACCCAAACTCTGCCATTAAGTCAATGCTGACGCAACACCCCCCCACCCCCACCCCTGTGGGTTTCCAAGACTCTACGGTGTTTACAGGCGTAATTAGCCCAGTCTGCTTCCCTTGACGCTGGTGGTGGTTTCAAACTGCAGACCACGAGGATCGCAGCCCAATGCATAACCACTACACCACCAGGGAGCCTTATTTTGACATTAACTATATAAAAACAAAGTAGATTTTCAAAATGAGAATGTCTACACTTGCCTGGTCTCTGATCTGAGAAGTCAGATTCTCAGTCTTCCCCGTAAAACGGCCGAGCCTTTGCTTGTAGGCTGTAGATGCCTTCTTTAGAGCTATCATTTTTTGTTTACTTGACTCTTTGATCAATACAGCCTCATGCTTGTTCTTTTTCAATTGCAAATTCCATTCTGTTATTTTACTTTCTAAGTGCTAAAAAAATAAAGCAAAAATTAAATAACTTTAGGACTCTAATGTTTACGTAAATCCCAAACTGAACAAAGCCCACTGCTGTTGAGTTGACTGATTTACAGTAAACCTATACAGGGTTTTAGAGACACTAAATCTGTACAAAAGCAGACCAGACTGCCTCCTCATCCCAGAGTGGCTGCTGGGTTTGAACCATCAACCCTGCAGTTAGCAGCCCAATGACTAACCCACAGTGTCACCAGGGCTTCTTGTATTTAAGTCAACATTATAAAAATATGAAAAATTCATCCCCATGGATTTTATCAAAACAATTAGTAATCAGGTCGATAAAAAAGAAAACACTAAAAAAATTTCACCAATACATTTTTATAAAGTTAGAGAATACAAACAACATACACAGGTCTATGTAAAACAAAAACTTATGGAAAATATTAGTTATTATGGTAGAAATAACCTCAGTTTAAAATTTTTTGTGATTATATTTTTAAAATGTTTAGTGAACATCTAGAATATTGCAAGTAGTTGTTCGGTGTCATCGAATCAATTCAGACTCATAACAATCTTATGTACAACAGAATGAAGCAATGGTCGGCTCTCCAACATTCTTGCTATTTTGGGGCCTGTTATTTCAGCCACGGTTTCACCCCATCAACTTAATGGTCTTCCAGTTTTGCACAGCTTACCAAGTATGCTGTCTTTCTCCAGAACCTGGTCCCCCCTGATACCGTGTCTGAAATACGTGAGACAAAGTCTCACTTCTAAGCACATTCTGCCATACTTTTCCCAAGGCAGATGTTTGTTCCTTTGGCAGTCCATGGTAATTTTAATATTCTTCAACAACACCGTAATTCAAAGGCATCAATTGCTCTCTGATCTTCTTTACTCATTGTCAGGTTTTACATGCATGTGAGGCAAGCAAATTATCATGGTCTGGGTCATGCACAGCTAAGTCCTAAAAGTGACATCCTTGATCTTTAACACTTCATAGAGGACTTGTGCAGTGGATTTGTGTAATGCAATGTCTTAGGGGAACCTGGCTGTTGCTTTCATGAGTGTTGATTGTGGATTTCAGTAAAAATAGAATTTTTGATAACTTTAATCTTTTCTCTGTTTATCATGATATTGTTTATAAGTTGAGTTGTGAGGATTTTGTTTTTGCAGAACAAAAATCATAACTAAGCTAGAGATAACCCAAACACTAGACACATAGTGCTCAGAGATGGTAGCTCCCACTTTTATTAAGATTCTTAGTTCCAAAAGATAACAGCTTAAAAGAGATACGATCCAGAACTGACAGGCTATGAAGGCTTTAGACAAACAAACACAGACTCACTGTCATGTTTCAATTTGCTTGTTACTGGGGAACATGCCTTGATACTCGGAAGAGTTTATTAAGGCTATTTAAATTTTTTTCTTATCTAAAACATGTTAAATTTGGAGGACTACAAAAGTAAATACAGTTACATATAAATTAAAAGCTATCAGCTCTGTAGGTGACACTATCATGTTGAGTCTGATGATATTAATGGATGGCCATCTCTTTGACATCGTTTTCTTGGTGATAAAACAAGAAGGACTGGATGAATGGTGGATAAAATTTAGTATGATAATTCTCATTTTTATTTCAAATTATTTTAAGATCTATCTTCAATGTTTTTATATATTTTGAAGGCTATATGACATTGAAGAGAGATTGACAGTGTTACAGAATTTAGGTTTTGGCCTCTCACTATGTAGACAGTCATCTTAATAAACATTTTAAAGGAGCCATAGTAAGAAACCCCAGGGACAAGGGAACAACAAGTGATCTAAAAGCAATGGCAAGGAGGCCTGGTAGGGCTTGATCAAGGGCAATGTAACCGAGAGGAATTACTGAAACCCAAATGAA